GGAAGCTAGGGTTTATAAAGCTGCTGGAGGCTTGTTTGTAGTGTGGGGTTGTACTTCATTGACAATTATAATGAAGGTGGTGAGGAACATGAGCAAGGGAGGCCTTTGTTCACAAGTACTGCGTATGGGAAGTAAGGAGACTAGAGGTGTGAATCTTTGGAATTGTGCTCAGTTGTGTGAGTTAACCTCGTCTTACCTTCTGCAGCTGATGTAACTTTAAAACACAATGTGACAGATGGGCTATTCTGGCAGAAGAGAGACAGCAATGTGGGTTTGGGAACACAAATGTGTAAGTGTAGAGTGCCCAGGACTTCAAACAGCACTTGGTATGGGGAAGCACATAATGATTCTGCAGGAGGGGAATAACAGTAGTGCTAATATGTTGTGGTAGGGACAGAAAATTATCTTGGTTCCTGTGAGCTCTGAAGATCCAGAGGGGACATAGCAGAGAAGGTGCAGTCAAGGAGTCACAGCTACAGGAAAACCATTAAAAGAGAAAAACTCTTGGCATTCCCCTGACAGCTGGAAAGGGAATTAAATAAGAGATAGTTGGGACTTTCAGTTTTTCCTCTATAAGAGAACAACAATCTTTGCGCACAGAGAAGATGTAGATGCAAATCTTAACTTCAAATACTGTCCCACGTGTAACCCTTGTGTGCAAGCTCGGGGGAAAGGCCTCTGCTCTGAGGTACAGGGGTGGTGGGAGCTCTGCTCCTGGGAAGCAGTGTGTTCCCAGCAGGAGGACAGCCCGCCCCGCGTGCATGAGCCTGTCTGTGGTTCAGTTGCATCCAGCCCTTCTGTTTGTGGCTTGGATGACAGAACAAGAAAGGGAACTGATTAAATTCACAGCTGATACCATGCTGGAAGGGCTGTAAATGCGCTGTAGGGAAGGATTAGAATTCAAAATGTTCATGATGAGCTGGAGAAACAGTAAGGGGAAGGGGAAATGAAATAAAAAGGAGAGGTAACTCAAGACAAAGGTAAAATCCCATACTTGGCAAGAATAGCAACTGAAGCGATAAAAATGGAAGTGATTGCACAGGCAGCAGTTCTGCAGGAAAGGAGTGGGCAAAGAGCACATCACAATGCAGACAGTAGCAGAGCCCCTGCAGCTCCAGAGCAGTGTGAGTGTCCGGAGTGCTGTGCTATGTGTGCCTTGATGGAGGATTTCAACATCTTCCCATAAGTGCTGGTGGTTGAACGGGAGCACAGTCCGTGTGTGGGCTTTCCTCACAACAGCAAAACCCTCTCCAGGTTAATGCTATGCAGCAGAACCGATCAATACCTAATAATGGAACAGGGAGTTAATGTAAACACTAATAATAACCTAAATGATCTAATAGTTGGGTATCACCTCTACTTTTTAAATTATATATTTATATAATTTTACATCCACGTGTGGAGATGAAATCCTATTATATTAGGCTGACAGAACCAGGAGTTTCTGAGCACAGCTTTTTCAGGAGGCTTCCTCACAGCCCCTCTCTCATAACACGGCTTCTTCTCAAACTATTAAAGAGGAAGCATTTCCATGATTTTTCAAACTGGTGGTTGCAGGCTTGTTTGACAGTCTGCATGATTCTTCTATTTTTTGTTTGTAGAAACTAGTCCCCATAGTGAACAGTTTTGTTTCCCTTTTGTGTATTTATTTAACTTGATTTTCTTATGAGTAATGCCTTGAAAAGCACATAGCTCTTTCACAAGGAGATTATAAATGGATGCTTATCTCAGGCACCAAACATCCCTTTAAATAGAACCACCAACTCAAGAAATGGGAATAAACAGGAAGAGAGCCTCGACCAGCGCCAGGCTGCACCATGCCAGAACAAGGTTTTTCCCGCTACCTCCTCTGGAAGATGTAAGGCTGCCTTGGCTGGCTGTCACTTTTATGGAGCATCGCCCTGCCACAAACTCACTGAGAGAAGAGCTGGTGCTGGGGAAACAAGCAGGGCTGCTGCTTCCTATGAAGAGATGCTCCTGCACACAGCGTTCCTTCATCACGTTTAACTCTGTGTGACACAAATCAAACCGAGTGAAGCTGAGCAGTGGTGTGCTGCAGCAGTGCCACCCCCAGAGCAGCCAGCCCAGGAGGGCACAGCAGGGACTGAGATCCCGGTGCACACTGGCAGTTGGTGTTTCTCTGGCCAGAAGCTGTTGGTTGGTTGGGACCATGAGGCCATTATTTGTCGCCTCTTTTCAAGCAGGAAACTAAAACATGAGGGTGGGCACCAATAGGCTTCAAGGACACACCTGCTTAGTGCTCAGCTACTGCCATCCTGTGCCTCCTGTGCAGAGCATTAGAAAAGCCCTGCAGAGTGCAGCCAAGGCCCCCCAGGCTTTAGGGGCAGAACCCCAGCTGGTGCACACAGCACAAACACTGCTGAACTCAGCATTACTGCCTGTAAGCAGCTACACTTTTGACCCCAGTTCCTATTTTAAAATGCCTTCTGAATGCACCTCTCCAGTGCAGAGGCTGCCAGGAATGGACTCAGGGCAGGGTGTGTGCTGTGCACTCTGAGCATTGGTGTCCTGAGGGAAAGACATCAGCTGTCCTGTTCCACAGATCAGGATCTACAGCCCAGGGCTGAGCAGCACGTTCAGTACCGCAGAGTCCCAAGCAGAACTGAACCTGGTGTTTCCTGCTGACGATCCCATCAGGAGATGTTCCTTTAGTGATACTCTCTTTCATACAGGAAGACACCAGCACACAGAATCACAGAATGGCCAGGGCTAGAAGGGACCTCAAGGATCATGAATCTCCAACCCCCCTGCCACATGCAAGGCCACCAACCTCCACATTTCATACTAGACCAGGCTGCCCAGGGCCCCATCCAATCTGGCCTTGAATACCTCCAGGGATGGGGCATCCACAACCTCTCTGGGCAGCCTGTTCCAGCACCTCACCACTCTCTCTGTAAAGAATTTCCCCCTGACGTCCAACCTAAATCTTCCCTCCCTCAACTTTAAACCATTTCCCCTTGTCCTGCTGTTATCAACCCTTTCAAAGAGTTGATTCCCATCCTGTTTGTAGGCTCCCTTTAGGTACTGAAAGGCTGCAATGAGGTCACCCCGCAGCCTTCTTTTCTCCAGGCTGAACAAGCCCAGCTCCCTCAGCCTGTCCTCATAGGGGAGGTGCTCCAGTCCCCTGATCATCTTCGTGGCCCTCCTCTGGACCCTCTCCAACAGCTCCCTGTCTTTCTTGTACTGGGGGCTCCAAACTTGGACACAGTATTCCAGATGGGGCCTCACAAGAGCAGACTAGAGAGGGACAATCACCTCCCTGTCCCTGCTGGCCACCCCTCTTTTGATGGAGCCCAGGATCCCATTTGCCTTCCAAGCCGCAAGGGCACACTGCTGGCTCATGTTAAGTTTTTCATCCATCAAGACCCCCAGGTCCTTCTCCACAGGGCTGCTCTCAAGGACTGCTCCTTCCAGTCTGAAGGGATGCCTGGGATTCCTCCAGCCCAAGTGCAAACTCTGCACTTTGCCGTGTTGAACCTCATCAGGTTCACGCAGGCCCACCTTTCTAGCCTCTCGAGGTCCCTCTGAATGGCATCCCTTCATTCAACCATGTCAATTACACACAAACAGCAAAGTATCCTGGATCTGACCTAGAGCACAGCACCCATAGGATCAATGCACATTTTTACCATTCCAGCAGCAGACAGCCACACTCCTCTCCCACATGGCAGAAGACGTGAACTGGCAAAATATTTTTCTTCACCCTTTTCTTTACCCTTTTCTAATGCTGAGAATCATTCTGCGGTTTTCCCAGCAGCTCCCCTCTCTCTCTCTGTCTCTCTCTAGCCGCTCTCCTGTTGGCTGAGCCCTCGTCTTGGGCACAGCTCCGTGAGGCACCGGGCGGAGCTATGCCCCTGGAGCCCAGCTAGTTTCAAAGCTGGGGGATGGTGAAATGCAGCACGATGTGTGCCAGCTGGCTTCTGGGAAACGGCCCCGCTGGGCCCCCACTGACGTCTGCCGCTTCACCACTGCTTGGGAAACAGGGAGAAAACAGCTTCAGTGGGGCAGGGAACTGGGCAGACTGCAGCCCGATGGCTTCACAGATGTGCCTCAATGTATGACAGGCTGAGTCCTGCCTTCCTGGCTTTAAACCCACTGAAACTTTGCTGTACATCCACGTGCTGGGCACTTGATGTTGCTAGAGGACCCGACTCAATTTTACCTAATGAAGAAATGGAAACACAAACCACTCGGTGACAACCAGCACCAAAGCTCCCAGACCCGATGCCGCTCGCTGTGCAGAAGGGCGCTCAGTTACACACTCACATGGACATCGAAGGGAAAGTTGCTGTAACAGTCGGTAACGTTATTTACTTGTGTTTTGGCCAGTTTCCTCCCGAGCCTCACAGAGCAAGGACAAGCAGCTTAGCCTGCCCAAGACAAACTCTTGGTTCCCTCTGTCCCTCCCACAGCACAGCCAGTGACCCCTCCCCTGTGCGCCGTTACCCAACTCACAAACAACGCTCCCGCTCACATCAGCAGCTCCGGTTGTGTCCGATCCCACCTCGCCGAAGGGGAGTGGAGACGCAGGGCTGCTGCCGAGCAGTGCTGCAGACAGGTAACAGCTCCTTGGTTGTTGCTTTTTGTTTGTCATGCTGAACTCCTAGCCAGTATGGCAGTAGGTGGACCAAAATGAGCCTCCTGGCAAGCAGTCTTGCTGGACTTTGTAATAGGAGAAAAGTCTCTGAACAAACTCAAAACAGATTAAGCAATGCTTCGTATTACTTGGTTTCTGCAGGGAAAGAGAGGCGATTTTTAAGGTTAATATCTAGCGTAAAATACAGAATAACTTCTGTTTTTTTAAGGCATGGCTGTCAACTGTATGTGTCTTAAGTGTGCGTGCATTTTGATTTGGTCTCCATTCAACATGTTGGCTAGATGTAGAAAGTAGCAGCCCACAGGGACTTGCTCGGCTGCTCTGCTCTGTCCCAGCTTGCTGCCCCCAGGCTGCAAAAAGCCCCTGACTCTTTCTGGCTCCTTGCAGGTTTTGCAGGCTCTCAATTGCCAGGATGCTTCTGCTTCTTTCTCTGGTCACTGGACTGGCCCTGTCTGCCTTTGGTGTCGTGACAGAAACAGGAGCCGATCCAAGCTGCGCATCACTTCATGATGTACAGAGAAAAGTGAATGACCTCTGGCAGAGCTTGCTCTATCCAGTGATGGCTGATAATGAGACTGATGGGCTGACCTACGCCACCTGTGAGATGAAGCCCAGCTCCAAAATAGATGCTGACAAGCCACAAGTGACTGGACAAGTCTTATTCAGACAGCATTACTCACAAGGAAGATTAGAAGCCATTTTTCACTTGGATGGGTTTCCACTGGATAACAACCAGTCTGGCAGAGCTATACACATCCACGAGCTCGGAGATCTCAGCAACGGCTGTGACTCCACGGGAGGACACTACAACCCCTTCAGAGTGAACCACCCCCGCCACCCCGGGGACTTCGGCAACTTCTCTCCTAAAGATGGCAAAATCAGAAAATACAAATCTAATCTCTTCGCCACAATGTTTGGTCCGTATTCCATCCTGGGCAGATCCGTTGTGATCCACGAGCAGGAAGATGACATGGGCAAGGGCAATAACAAGGCCAGTCTGGAAAATGGAAATGCTGGCAAGCGTCTGGCATGCTGCGTGATTGGGATCTGCAATAAGAACTTGTGGGAGGCGAAACAGTTTGAGGCTACGGACAAGAAGAAGAGATGGCTCCGAACCAGGCTCAGCTGAAGACCTGCAGTCGAGCTGCCACCTGGGCAGCATCAAGTACCTTAGGGTGCACTGTTGGCCGCTTAGATGGCAAAGGGGTTCCCACTTCCATTTTCTTGCTTCTCTGAGAAATGCATATCACTTTGTAGAACCACCTTTCTGTAAGCTGATCAATAAAAACAGCATCAACTCAACACTGTGATACATTTTCTTGAAGATAGAAGGTTCCCTTTTATGCAGTTTGGGAGTTGAATGCATGTGACTAAGAGTGCTAAGATGAATGGCCAATAAAGAGGCTGCACATCACAAGGGGCTCTTAAGGGACCATAAGTTAGATACGAAAGACAAAAATAAATATGAATAAGGGGAGAAATTGCCTCTGATTAGATGCTGTCCCTTATTTAGCTGCAAACCTGAGGGTAAAAAGATCTCTGCTTTCAACAGCTTTGGATGTTATGCTGTAAGACTTTGGTAATGGACTTCCCTGGGGAAAGTACAGACATTTCTATGTTAAGCTTTGGGTCCATGATGTTATCCTACCTGGATTTCCAAGTTTTACTCTCAAACATATCTAAGCTTCTTAAATGGTTTGGACTATTTATACACAACTATAGTTGAGTCACAGTATTTACATCAGAAAGCAGACATAAATACTCCAGCTTTCCATAACCCCCCAGCAAAAACTCCTGAGAGCCTCCAGTTTGTGACTAGAGGCAATGCAACCCAATAATGGGTTGCATTCCAGTTTTAATACTGCTTAGATGATGACAATAAAAATGATGATAAAATAAGAACGGCAGAAATTAGTACTGTTACTTTCAAAACCAAAAAATCCCGAGTGCGTATCTTCACACAAAAAATTGGGAAGTTAATCAGCCAAGTGAGACTGGGAGAAGTCACAGTGAAAACATGTAAGTCAGACAATGTTCAACAAACTTAGCAGTCTCACTCAAAGCTTTACTTTTCTCATTTTAAACAGCTGAAAATAGTAGAATACTAATTCATGACTATCGTTCATCTGATACTGAGAGGAGGAAATAAGCAGGTAGAACAAGCGTATCAGGAAATGTATGCTTTTATTCAAGATGACAAAATATATTAATAGAGTTGAACTATGTTGCGCAGTTAATCCAGGCAGGAACAAAAGAGAGGTTTGCAAATAAATTATACCATGTCATTTAAGAAGTAAAACTACAAAACAGAGGCTGGTAAACAAAACTCTATCTTTTAGAAACATAGCAGACTTTCAACTTCATCTCAGTTAAGATTTCAAAATACATTCCTGAGCTCATATGGATTAAAGAAATTCTGCTGTCTTTATTATACAAATTACTGTACGCTTAAAAATAGTCTCACTTAGAAAAGAGGCAACGTTCTAAATGATGCCCCTTAACCTGTCGTTTTCACACAATTATTTTACAAATTCACTGAGCGTTCTTTTTCAAATAACCACAACAGTTCTTTCAAATGAAACCCTTCTCATAGATAATGCATGAATTTGCTCACAGGTGAGGCAATGTGCTTCAAATCAATTTATGGAATGCATCCTCTCCATCTCCTTGCCACAACACTCCCCTTTGCAGTTTACTTCCCCAGAGCTCAACAGCAAAAGGTTTTACACCTGGATGCGATTTCTCCATTTCTGAAGTCCTAGAAAGAGGGAACAAGTCTAAAAGAGACACAACAAAATAGTGCTGATTCCACAACAAAACAGGAATGGATTTAAAACAAAACCAACAAAAACAAACAAATAACCCCAATAATTCTAACAGCACAAGAGCACCACTTGAAACAATATCTAAGACAGCTACTGACAAAACTATTCAATGTGAGATCACAGAGAGCAGTCTTGCTCTTACAGCTGCCCCAGTATTGAAGCCTTGTGTTCCTGGGAGCAGGCTAAAAGCACAGCCAGAGTGCCCGTTCACTGGACAGGATGGGTGGGAGCAGTATTGCAGCAGTGATATGGCACTCTAAATGAGCTCTCCAGAATCCAGATCTCTCGCTGCAGTTTAAACGACTGAGGGCTAATGAAGTGAGGATCGTTACCAAGATGACCTAATTGCAGGGTTGTACACCAGTTTTCTTCTCTCAGGAAAACCACACTAAAAGAATCAATGAGTGAGGCGCTGAAAAGCTGCTGCTGGTCCACAGCTACTTCCACCTGTTCTGATTTCTGCACTAAGCCTTTCATCAATTAATTGCATTAATTGGCTGTTGAGGGACAAGGAACAAATGTCAGCTCACACAGTTGTGGATCTAAAGAGATGCAGGACAAGGAAACAAAGGTCAAAACCAACCCTGAAAATTTCAGAGCTCAGCTATGTGAAATCCTGCCCTTTTTACTGGCTTGCATTAGTTCTGACTGCATTGATATTTAGCTGTGCATAGGATTAATCTGTGAAAGATGGAAAAGAATGCATCTCGAATAAAGTGATACCCGATGTAACATTCAAGCATTAAAGGAAAAAAAATCTGCCACATTCTCCTGGAGATCTCAGTTTCTGCAGCTATTTCTCTTCTGACTTGTCAGTACTGCCATATAAATGAGTCAATAGTGCAGTCAGTTCCAATTAATGGGAACAGCAAAACAATCTTTCAAATGCTTAAGTTCTTCTTGGTTTTCAGGTGATGAGGAACTTAAATTGTCATCAGGATAATGAAATAAAGACTTTTTACTGCTTCATGTTCCTAACACACTTAAATATACAGCTGTTTTTTCCCTAAGGGCTGCTGCTTAGCATCAGCAAAATGCTGCAATGTCAAATTACCTTTAAAGAGAAAGGAAACGTATTTGAGGAGCGCTGTGACTACGGCTTTATTGCCTGCACAGACACTGAAAGGGTTACCTGGGTGCACCTGGTAGGGAAAGCACAGGACAACAGCGACAAGCCACATTTTTCACCTTCTCTCTATCATTCCTTATATTTGTATGTAATCATTTACATACAGCCCTTCTTCTGCTGAATACAAATTGCTCATGGACTCTGCCACCTTGATTATAGCAGCACCTGCTAGCTCAGTTTCCATATACAGAAGAGTTTGTCAGTATCGCTAATATAAACTCTGTTTATTCAGTAGCTGACAAGTGGGCTGTAAAAATTTGCAGCTGGCAGTTATTTGTCAAAGGAGAACTCAATCTGGGAGGGATTTTCCTTTTTATTAGTAGTATTTTATTAAATTTGGTTTAATTCTCTCTGATTGGTTTCAAGTTCTAGGAGTGAGAAATGAACATTTACAGACAATTAGGTCCCAAGCCAGCAGAAAAATTGCCTTGACGGCTGCTGGCCCATAGAAGCTCCACAGCTGCAGAGACTGTTCCTTATGCTACAAGCAGGAGAGGAAGGACGTGCCTCCCGTTCTCCAACAGCTGCTAACTTCATCGTTAAGTATTCCCTTGTTGCTGCCCTCCTTGGAGCAGAGTGGCACAGCTCCAGCATCAGGAGTGTGCTGGGGAATGACACAGCAGCCTCTCTCCCACACAGTTATTACAGGAGTGTTTTCTTATGATTGAATATCAACACAGACAGAAGTTAAAGACAGCAACAACACAAACCTACTACTACACCAAAGATTGGTGAAGTGAGGAGGAAACAAATATACGAAGAACGTTTATGTTTTCTAAAACATAAGAAAACAAACACAGATTTGGAAAGGAGGGCATGTAAGGAGGAGGCTGAAATCTACCACCCGCTTCTCCAAGGGCTGTTCCAGCTCCTGAGGGCTGAGGGATGCAATTCTGGAAACGTACATGAAGGAGGAGGATGAGGCATCACTGGTTCTCTTCTTGCTGCTCCCTTAGCTTTGGAAAAGTATTGCTATTTCTCACTGAAAGACTTCTGGCTCCTCAGATGATACTTCCTTCAGAGCATCATTAATTCACATTCTTACTATCTGGTGAAATAATTTCGTATGTTTTCATGAGATGAGCTGGGAAAGGGAGGGCAAAAATTTGTACAAACTTTTGATAGAAAAGTTTGAAATGAGATAATGATGTACACGCAGGGATGGTTTTCAGAAAGGATTCTGTTCCCTTATAAAGCAAGGGTAATTTTATTCTAAGTATGCACTTGCAGAGGGAAACAGAATGCAGTCTGAAAAACAAGGAAAAGCCAGCAACCTTAAGATACTTCTCAATTTATCACTCCAAATTCTCCATCCTTGGAAGACACTTCTAAGCATTAGGATATGGTCCAGCACTAAGACCATACACCTCACATGTACATGATACATCATTTACACTGGTCTCTTTGCTACACTGTTGTAAATCATTACACAGAATCAGAATAATTGTATCTCATTAGCTTCAAGTTCTTCCCCTTAGACAACTTACATTTTTGGTATACTGCAGTCAAAACTAACAATACTGGTATCAGACCAATATTAACAGACTGATGTAAAAAATCAGCTCTTCGACAGACTTTCTCTGTTCATAGTCACAGTAGCATACGCACTTGCAAGAGGATTACAGTGAGAAACTTGAGGGCTTGGATTTCATACCTCAAGCCAAGCTGTTATCCAAATATTCACAGTTTTCAGAAGGATCAGATGGTTCCTTGTTTTCAGTTTCAGGGAGCTCCTCAAAGCTGATATTTGTGTGCGCAGTTGTAGCACTGAGACTCCCATGCCTTTCGGGGTCCTCACTGGGCATCACATCCACGGTGTTGCCATTCTGATTCTCTCCTTCATGAGTAATTTCACAGTCACTCTCTGAGGCTTCATCACTGCCTTTCAGGCCCTCAGTTTCAGCTGTCTGCTCATTTTCTGAGGCTGAGGGGTCTGTAGGGTCAGATGGGACCAGGCTGAGTAATGGGAAGCCTTTCTCAGATGAACCATTAAGCTCTGCTCTAACCACAGTCTTCTGCTCTTCAGATGAATTTTCCGTTCTTTTTCCTTCCAGTTCTGCAACTGCCTGTTTTGTCAGTTTAATTATTTGACTTCCAAGCTTGTTTATTTCTTCTTCCTCAGAATGTAACTGGGGTAATGAAGGATAAAAGTGTTTATTTTGGTTTCTGTTATTCAAGTTTCTTTCCTCTGAAGCCATGGAATCACGTGCAACAGCATTAGTTTCTTCACTCTCCCTCTTCTGTTCTACTGAAAGAGAAACAGAACAGCAACATATGTCACCTACACATCTGACCCAGAGACCATTATAATAGCATCAGAGCGCAGAGATGTTTACTTCAGTGAGGAA